AACAACGTCTGTCACCCTGCCACAGCTATACGTGTGATCGTTACTCCGCCACAGCTATACGTGTGATCGTTACTCCGCCACAGCTATACGTGTGATTGTTACTCCGCCACAGCTATACATGTGATCGTTACTCTGCCACAGCTATACATGTGATCGTTACTCTACCACAGCTTTTGTGTGATCGTTAATCTACCACAGCTATGCGTGTAATTGTTACTCTACCACAGCTATACGTGTGATTGTTACTCTGCCACTGCTATGCGTGTAATTGTTACTCTACCACAGCTATACATGTGATCGTCACTCTGCCACAGCTATACATGTGATCCATCGTTGTTCCTGTACACCTTTCAATATCACTGATTAGTATTGTTTTTTTAAGGTCGCCTCGCTCAACCATTACTATTTGGCTACTGTGCTAACAGAGCCTTGTCCCCACGTCTATAAAGCGCAGGTCTCCGTTACCAGCGTTTCTCTCGTCCTAAGGCAATGGTGCGTGTTAGCCATTGTGTGAGTAGTTTATAAAGCTCACCGTCAGTAATGGGATCTGTGCCCCTACAGTTGTGTACGTATGTATGTATGTGTGCCTTCATGTGCGTGTTTTTACTTTCAGGTAGGTGTGTAAGCTTGTTGAGTGCCATGAGCGGTAAGCGTGGCGTCATCAACAGTGGGTGTGTCGCCTTATCAGTAATCTTGTGTGGTCGTGTTGTATTCACACGCGTGGCACCATGATAACACCGGTAGTCTGTGTGTCGCCTCGATTTACATATTATAGTCATGAACAGCAGTGAAGGTAACCAGCGTGGAAATGATCTGATGAACTTTTTTGTTTAGCTTCAATGGTTTGAATGTATATGTTGATTACTGATGAAGTCACAAAGTTAAGAGTTACGACAAATCCTTGGAAACGGCGATCAAGTACCGGATGAAATAAAAACAGATTAGTGAGTAGATATACTGTATAAGAAATCGACAGTCCATACCAACTGTGCTAGCCAATATATACCCATAATTAAAGCCTGGATACCCTGCTGTAAGTCTATAAACCTTGAGTTAGTTTCGACGCCTCCCCCCCCCCAAAAAAAAAAATCAAATATGAGAGGAACGAATTTAATCATCCATGACAGACATTCATTCATAATTAGTTTATGATGTAGAGGACCAGTAGCGGTCCCTGTGGCAAAGAATTATTTTTTTTTTATTTCATACAAAGTAGTCTATTTTTTTTTATAGACAATGTGAAAACAGTATTCCATATGTACTCCAGGAGAGGTGGTAGCCAAGATACTAACCACGTCATGTTCAGAGACTCACTGGGAAATTTAACCTTCGGTGAGAAAAAAATCAACCCACAGATAATGTTTGTTTTAAGCTATCCATACAACACATCACAACCCGCACAACCTTTACCCACGTGTGATTGATAGCTTCAGAATATTCGACATTTCCTACACTCAGCACAGAGGTCTTTTGTTGTCAGAGGTGTTTGTGTGTCTTCACCAATAGTTTGTGAAGTTGTTTGTGTCGTTATCTGTGTTGTCCTCTGTGTTCGTACCGTCTGTGAACTTAAAAGACAAACTTGTACAAATAAACATCATGTTCCAGACCGTGAATTCAATACGTGTCATTTCGCGTCAACTCGCTTACCTGCCTTCACCGAGACCTCACCAGCTTCCTCTACTACTGTCTTAAGCAAATAGGTAACACACATTAGAAGAAAAAAAATCTCTACACAATAAAATAAACATATCTTATTATCCATTAGAGAAAAAATACTGATTTCAAAAGTAAATTTAATGAACATTTCCACCATTTGGCTAAGAGGTATGTTTCGCAAGATTATACATTTTCAATTAAATTAAATCTGTAACTGAATACTATTAATGTAATTAACGCCGGTTTATAATATTCTATTCTTTTGTTCAAGGTTAACAATAGAGTTGTTTATATGTTAAAGAAGCCAGGAGCTCTATCCTTTTATCTGGGCTCTCTCTCTCTCTCGCTACTTAAATGCCAATATTATTGTTTTCTTGTTACTGACTTGGGATTAAGCAAATTACTGGCTGAAACTCTAGATTAACATACATTATGGAAGTGTTCGTGCTCGTGTTTGTGCTTGGTTAGCTGTGAGCTCGTATGTGTATGTCTTTGTTCTTTGTACGTATCCGGGGCAGGTTGAGGGTTTCATGTTTGTGTGCGTTTTGTATGTATTGCTTTACATTGAGTGTGTACAGTTGTATGTATGCACAACCTACATTAGGAATATGTTTTGTGTGTATTTGTGATTATGCGTGTGTACGTGCGTGCGTGTGTAATAAAGAGAAAAAAAATCACCTTAATGTGAGACAGAGCAATTTTTTTTTATGTGCGTGTGTATATATGTGAATGTGCATTTGTATCTGTGTGTAATTGTGTATATATATCGACAGTATGTGTGTACCTGGAAGAAAGGATTATAAAGAATAAAACTTCGATGTTAACGTTATTAATGGAAACTGATGCTAATACTACGTTTAATTTGGGCGTTTGTATCGGTCGTTAAATTACTGCATTCACACATTCCTTCTTATACAAGCGGAGGATCCTCAGTAACTCGTTCCCGTGGCCCAAATCTCCTGCGGGCCGAAAGATAATCCTGTACACTGATTAACACAACCACACTGACTAACAATCCTTAACTGATAATAGCTAAGTCACTATACTCCCACACACAGACAGAGATTAACAACATTCACATCCCCCACACATTCCCTCATATTTGCAGCGCCCCACACTCCCACACACAGAAATTTATAGTACCCAATTACCCATACTCCCACACACATAGAGATTTACAGCAGCCACTCACACACACACACACGCGCGCGCGCACACACACACACACACACACACACACACACACACACACACAGATTTACAGCACCCACTCTCCCACACACATTTATAGCACTCACTCACTCACTCACTCACTCACCCACTCACTCACTCACTCACTCACTCACACAGCCAGATTTACACCATACAGAACGACATTTCAAGAAGGAACGGAATTCTATAGTACAAGTAAAGGTTGTCTTAAAGTTCCGCGTACATTGAGTTACATGACAAATTCCTAATACATAAAAGACACTGGCAACTCAACACCCAAACCACAAGAGATCAGGGAATTAACAGTATTTTAGGGGGCCTTTCCCTGCTGTAGAAGATTATAGTTACAAATAAAATAAATAATCGGCTTTTGAGTAACAACTGAACAACGTGGAGGAAAAGACAAAGTTGTGGTGTCTTAAATCTTCATGGTGAACAGTTTGAGGGAGTGGAAGAGGAGATGACTGTAAGACAAGTATAGTAAGGGAGCGACAAAAGGCCTAAGACAAGACGTAGAAGTAGTCCAATCATTCTTGCCTATTTCCTCAAGAGTCTAAACTTTCGGTTAACTAATTTGCATGTAAAGAAAATAGTTAAATTCAATCAAATAAGAAAGTTAACAATGAATTAATAGATCTCTCGTAAAGTATACGGTAAACTATTCGCCCCGTGAGATTGTGGCCAGAAAGCTTCAAGACGGGCAGGGAAATTGAGAGGAGATTACCGTGTAGAAAGTGTTGTTTCGTGGGTGTCGGAGCTCTGGGGGATGAACGCCAGCTTTACCCCACGCAAGATATATGACGCTGTTGTGATATTGCCTTACATACACACACACGCTCACTCACTCACTCACTCCTACATACAATACATACATACGTATATATACATACACATAGATAAATATATAGCATTATTCTATTTTGTGTGTGTACGTTTGTATAATAGGTAGTAATAAATAGTCTATGTATGTCCTTTCAACCATATGTATACAGGTTTGTGTATACATAAGTAAGGGAAAGTGCGTGTCTAAATTTGTTTTCGTTTTGCCTCATATCAACCAACATCAATCAACAAGTACAGAATATACTTAACAACACCTTCCATTTGCCAAAACTAGACAATATAAAAAAAAACGTAAAAAATAAATAATAATGGAAATAATAATTAATAAATTGTGTAACCATCTAAGGCAAAATATATGTTAATGGCTCAGTAATGGGTCAGTAATGGCTCAGTAATCTCTCTTAACTTGTTTTTCCTATGGTGAGTGTTGGGAGTTACCCGTTTGATTTTCCTCCATGTAAAAATTAATTAATTTCCTCCTCACTCACTCGGGTCAAAACGAACTGATCAATTAACTGTCGAGTATTTTTACGAGCGGCTTAGCTAGGTGAAATTATATTACGTTGGGATGAGTTAGGTTAAGCTTAGGTTAGGTTAGATTAGATTAGGTTAGGTTAAGTTAGATTAGGTTATGTTAAGTTAGGTTAGAGTAAGTTAGGTTAGAGTAGGTTAGTTTAAGTTAGATTAGGTTAGGTTAAGTTAGGTTAGAGTAGGTTAGGTTAAGTTAGGTTATCTTAGGTTAAGTTAGGTTAGAGTAGGTTAGGTTAGCTTAGGTTATCTTAGATTTGTTAATATTAGGTTTGTTTAAGTTAGGTTGGGTTATCATTAGTTAGCTGAGGTTTGGCTGGATTGGATATGATTGCATTGGTTAGCTAAGGTAAAGTTAGTTTAAGTTGATGTAAGCTTTGGTTACTTTAGTTTAGTTTCGTACAGGTGAGATAAGGTTTAGTTATGCTGAGTTTGATTAAGTTAGGTTAAGTTTTTCCTAGATATACACTTAAAGTCAGGTTTTGTTAATATCACTTAAACATGTTTTCATCACGACGCTGTCCTGAGTTTAATGTACTTTACACCACACTCCCAACAGACGCAGTTATAACCTGCGTGACGCCTCCCCCTCCCGCCACTCTCCGCATTTCTCCTGAAGACAATTTGCCTAAAAGCTCCATTACGTGATGCGGAAGTTTTCTGAGTATTACGGGTTGCAAAATGATGCAGAGAATTATGAAGGAGGAGTGACGGTTAGAGAAGAGTGATTGATGAATGGGAGTTTAGTCGCTTCTACTCACCGTTAGTTGAGTCCTGCTGAGATGAGACTGGGCTCAGCAGACAGCAGACCAGCAGCAGCAACAGCAGCAGCATCAGCCGCACAGTCTTATCGTACAGTTGTGTTAATTTCATCATGGAAATAAACTTTGTTATCTTCCCTGCAACTTTTTTGTTCGTGTTTATTTATTTATTTGTATTGACACGAGCTTGGAAGATTGTATATAGCACTTAACGCACCTTTTCACACTCTTTCTGAATATAAACCTTTCTGAATATAGACCTAGGTTGAGTTAGATGAGGCCGTGCTTAAGAGCTCTTTACTGCGTGTCTGTGTACTTACAAAGGATTTGATCACTGCATCAACACCATTGATCGCTAAATAATCCCGTGTGTCTGCACCGCCTGATCCTCCTCCACTCAGGAGCGAGAACAACACTCTCTGTAAATAGTCGGCTTTCTTACACTTTATAAATTAATAATTTTCAAAAATAAATATTTTGGTTGATCATGAACACTCGTGTCAGGAAATGATAAGCAATACCTTCTGAAAATATACTAATAGCTTCATATCCGTCACACTGCTATTTAACACTTTGAAGAATAACAAAAAGAAACATTCATATATGTATATATTTATATGTACATTTATATTATAGCTGTAAACACCGAGGTTAACTGTTACCAGCTTACTCGATGTTTCCGCTCACAAATCGTCACTAAAATCGCTCGAGAAAGAGAGGTGGTGTGAAAGAGGGCGAAGGAGGGTGGTGGGGGAGGGAGGGAGGGAGGGGCCCGAGAGCTGCACCTCACCGTCCTGCTCCGCCGGTGGTCGGTGCCGTACTGAGGCCCGCCGCCGCTCCCACCCCCCACTCACCTTCCATCTACCTATGGCACTCATTCCAAGGTGCGCTGCTCACCTACTCCACTATGATGTCTATATCCCTAGTGGGTGAAGCAAATCTTGGATATATTTCTATACATGTCCAAATATAGACCTAATCCACGACTGTCTATATCCCTAGTGGGTGAAGTAGATTTCAGATATACTTTTTATCATACCTTTACACACCAGCATTGCCTTATGTATACGGCTGAGCTCAGTGATATTTACATTTACTTTTATTCACAACTAGGTCGAGTCCTCCACATAACAAGAGCGAATTAAGTGGTTTTTAGATACAATTCTGTTCTCCTGCAGGTAACAGCCATCACCTGTATTACCTGCATTTGACTAAGTAGTTTTTACATACGTGTTTTTTTTATCAAGGTAATGGTTCTCATATTATTTTGTATATAGAAAATTAATGATAACAAAGATGATAAGCTTGATTGAAAAAGTAATTTTATAAAGTAAAATTTAAATAAAAGACTTCAGAATGAAAATGAAAATAGTCATATAAAGGACAGAAACTAGAACAGTAGAATTTATGTATGTGAGAAAACTTACATAAATAGCTACATAACGTTGACCTATATTACTGTATTTCCATCATGCCGTCACCTCTCTTGACCTGTTATAACTGGTGAGATCAACAAATATGGAATTCTTTTCTCCATCCTGTACAAATTTTTCTAATATCATCAAAACTATTCATTCTAATTAATAGTTTATATACCAAGGTTAAGTACGTTTTAGGTACCTTTATGTTAGCAGTTAGGTGGAGAACTCTAACCTGATATAATAACTTAATTGACAATTGCTGACCATGTAAATTAAAATATCCAATAATTTTACGGATATTTTAATTTGTTTGTACTTGAAGGCTCTACTTTTGTGATACCTTCAGCAAATAGGAATAATTTACACCTGTACGTGTTACCGAAATCCATTTTGTACGCAGATTTTATCAGTAGTTTTTGAGTCATAATACTGTCTTTGTTATCAGCGTGCTTATGAGTCTTCTCTGCCCACCTACTATGTTGAATGAGAACTTTGGCAATTGTGAAGATTTTTTTTCCAGATTTTTTTTTTTATCTTGAATTTGAATGCTAGGTTAGTCTGTAATTAAATGCTTCACTGCACACTAATGTTGTAATGCCTCTAATAATAGCCTTTTTTGTACAGCTGTCAGTTCCGGAGAAAAAAGGAAAGAGCTTTTTTTTTAGTACGAGAACAATTTTCGAATCCTGTAAAAAGAACACTTCGTTCACGTGCTCTAGCCAACAGTAAATCCTACATTAACTGAGGTAAAAGTTGTCTTTATGATCAAGTTTGTGCCTTGTGCGAAATCTATGAAGTCGATGTTTGTCTTGACTGGTGAAAAAATGAGTGGGGGTATTTAAAGGAGCCTCGCCATAACCAGGAATTGGGAGATAAGTTTGTAGGGTATTTGTGTATACTTTTTAAATGCTTGAAATTTGTCTATAATGCATGGCAGGTTTATTATTATTATTATTATTATTATTATTATTATTATTATTATTATTATTATTATTATTATTATTATTATTATTATTATTATTATTATTATTATTATTAGTTGTAGTAGTAGTAGTAGTAGTAGTAGTAGTATGATCGACCGTATTATCGCCGTTATTAAGATTATCATTTCCTGTACTTGTCAGTTTTAGTTACAATCATATCTTAAATATTTGGTGAATTTCTTAAACTTCATCATTTTGTTAATACCTGCATTTGGTGATACTGATTGCCAATTTTCGTCAGTGATTTTATTATACGTATTAACAGCCTCCAGTAGGATACATAGCTATCCTGAGGCAGATCCATGCGGCATTCAGTGACCTCATAGTGCAGCAGTTGTAATTGCGCAGCATTTACGGTGACAAACGGCCATGATCAAAAATCCTGATGTCAATTTTCCACACGGGCTTCGTGTTTGATGGAGGATCTTTCATGACGTCCCGGCAGATATTGAACTCGTCAATGCATATTTCTGATGGCGTGATCGCCATCATAGGAATAGCCACACACGCATTGGGAGGGCAAACCATCTACTGGCCTATACCTTAGAGCAATATCTACTACCATTTGCCCTACATAGTTAACCAGTTACTACTACTACTACTACTACTACTACTACTACTACTACTACTACTACTACTACTACTACTACTACTTCAACTACTTATAATAATAATAATGAAATAGATATGTATAATTTTTCACTGTCCAAGCCACGATAGCGTTCCTTCATCCTAGATTCCTGTCACCATTATGCAAATTATTATAATTTTTTCACTTACCTGCGTTATCCAACACCTCCCTCTTTATTAATTTTCCCTTAATTCTCATCTCCTCTCACCCTTCCCTTGCTCTCATCTCTTCTCGCTCTCCCCTCATTCTCCCTTACCTATCACTCTCCAGTTCCCTCTCCTCCCTGGACTCTCCTTACCTACCTTACCCTCCCTTTCTCCCTTTCGTATTACTAATTCATTTCCCTCCCTCCCTTCCTGCCCTATTCATTACCTCCCTTCCTCCTCACTTCCTGGAAACTCTCACTACACCCTCCTCCCTCCCTACTTCTCCCTTAGGACTCTCTTATTCTTTCTTTTTCTCTTTCACTTTATCTTTCACCTTTTTTCACTCTCTCTTCTTCACAGTATCTTTCTTTTTCTCTTTATCTCTCGCTCGTGCTCGCTTTCTCTTAGCTCTGTCTCTTTCTTTTAGCTCTCCCTCGCTCTCTTACCTCTCTCTCTCGCTCTTTTACTTCTCTCTCTCGCTCTGCCTTACCTCTCTCTCTCGCTCTCTCTCTTACCTCTCTCTCTCGCTCTCTCTCATTTCCTAACAAAATTCTCCTTTTCCCTCTCGGTTATAAATCAGTGTCTCGCCTGCTCTCATAAACCGCTGTCTCCCCCTCACCTCATAAAATGGATTCTCCCCTCACCTATAACTGAATCTCTCCCCCTCTCTTCCTCCCTCCCCCTTAAAGTTATTGCCCCCCCCTTTCCCTCATAAGCAGCTGTCGTCATTGCCCTTGATAAACCAGTGTATCTCTCTCTTTCTCTCTGTCTCTCTCTCTCTTTCTCATATTTCCTCATTATTGTTTAGCACATATATCGCTCCTTATACGGTGACTTATTAATTTCCCTAAGACACGCCTTTCATCCCTCATATACGACTATGTCACCTCAGTGTCTTAATGTTATCTTCTGATTACATATATATATTATTTTCTACCCTATTATATCGTTATTTCCCGCCTCATGGTATTTCCTTATAGGCCTGTCACTGCTCTACTGTTTTCCCTCAGTCTTCACGCTTTAGCTTCCCTTGTCGCCATTTCCCCTTTCTTTTTCCTTTTCTCCGACTCCTCTCTTCTTTTCTTTTAATCCTATTTTACACTCTTCTCTATTCACCCTTTCCTTCCCTCACATTTCGTTCCTCCCTTTCTTCTTGTCTCCATACATTTCTTCCCTTTGTCTTCTTCACACTTTTCCCTTCTCTATCCTCTCTTCCTTTTTATTCCCCTTTCTTCTCCCTGTCTCTCTCCTCCCCTTCCCTCCCCTCGACAGATATCTCGAGGAGGTTTTACGGACGAAATCTGGTGTTAATTTTCACGCCCATTGTGATCCAACGAGCTTATCAAACTCAGTGTTATGGCGCTACATATTGTATATTTTATGACTCTACACCGTAGTTTATGGGACGTGTTATAGTGTAATTATTATATCAGGATTGTGTAACGAGGTGATAAATTATTTTTTGACTGGCTCATACTGGTAGTCGAGATGACGTGAAGAGGAACATTCGGGTAATCACAGAATTAACTTGGGGTGTTCTTTAACTCAATTAGTTTACGTTTAGGAATATTATTTACTTCATTCCCAGAGCCCAAAGTTTAAGTGTTTTATCTCAATATTAACTCGAACCTGCCCTCTGTGATATAGCCTTCGTGTGAACTACTAAATGTGTCGTATTCATGTTTCTGTACTTATCTATATTCTTCTTGTTTACATTTGTACGCTTGTCTCGGCATGTGAATTTCTTCCCTTTCTCACTGGGCTTGTTGAGATATCTCGAAAACTTTGGTTGGTGGGATATATCTCAGACAGAGGCAGTGAGACATCTCTTCAGTTTAGAGCAGTTTTTAATCTTTTGTTTGTGTGCTATTTTGTACGTCTTCGTTGCATATTGTGAGTTAAGGTACGTATGCAATATTATTCCTCTCATAATCAACTTTTTTCATCATTATCATCACTGGCACTTTCCTCATTAGTCTATTTTCACCCAAGTTTTATAATCATCGTAATGAACATCATCATCATCATCATCATCATCACTGGGTAAGGCTTGTCTACGTTAAAGTCAAGCTGGTACTTGTGAAACCCACTTAAACATCGTATCTGTCGACCTGCCATCACTTGCTAACATTAAGCTTAAATAACACACGTACGATTGAGCTCCACCGATTGTCTTAAGTGAAGTTATAAGTGAGGAGTCCCTACTTGCTTACAGTAGTTCCAATATGCTAATTTATTGTCATTACTTGAGAAAAAAAAATTATCACATTCTTGTATACCGTTAATTTATGTCCATTTCCCTGTAAACTGTTGTACCATACATCCTTATTGGAACTTTTGATCTGTTTTAAAGTCCAATTCATCACCAGATTCGTAACAGGAAGGTGAATTTCTTACTTAAACCTCGGATTTGGTTATGTTAAGTAAGGCTAAATTCGAGGTAGGTTACTGAAGGTTAAAGGCATGTTTGGTTAGGTTAAGGTATGTTAGAGGTAGGTACAATGGGTTAGGTTAAATGTAAGTTAGATTCAGGTAAATTAGGATA